GGTGAACATTTCCTCTGTTCAGGACATGTAACGTGAATGAAAGATAACACAGTTATCTTGTGTCAATGATACTTAGTTTTACTCATTTTTATAACAACTTTCCACTGTAGAAGAGAAATACACTGATGGAAAACACAGCACAGGAAATTCCTTCAAAAAGGTCAAGATACTTGAAGCTATGAATGTGTCAATATGAATATCAGAGGCTTCAATTCACTTTGCGCATTGTACTAGAATATGAAATCATGATCCAAGAAGTTGTCAGGAATTCTAAAGTGGATCATTCAGTGATAATTAACATTAATGATATTAAATTAACAATTCCTGTTAAAATCTATGCTCATTTGAAGCTGCTAGTGTGAGTTTATGATTGTGGATTTAGTTTATTTAAGCTGCATGTAATTTTACAAATGTTGACATTTCGATCTTGACTTTCTCTTCAGTCTTTTACTTTATATTTACAATTGTTTTCTGTCAAACACAAATTAAGACAGGGTTTTTCACTGTTTTTTTTTCAAAAAAATAAACACTGGTTGAAAACAAAAGATTAAAATGCAGAACTGAACATGGTTGATTTAGGGGAAACTTCATGCTACACAATGTTTTTTTGCTTGACTCTCATCTTGCTTTGGATGTTTCCATCCTTAAGCTAATGCTGTCATATCCAGCACATGCATCTGTGATGTGAATGAAAGATGATACTGTTATATTGATACTGCAATGTTTCAAAACTGCAATATTTTCAAATACAGTCATTCATATGTTTAACATAAGTTCACACCACACCAATTTCTATTTTTAGCTCCACATCTACCAAGTATTTGATCTTGTGTGTAATCAATAGAGTAGAAATATGGATACATGCAATTTACGACTCAAGACGTATTAATTAAACTCCTTATATTCCTAATTTTATTATATGGGTAGTTTATACTCATTGATACTCAGTAAGAGGGGAACTGTATATCTTCCTAATTTTATTATATGAGTAGTTTATACTCATTGATACTTAAGAGGGGAACTGTACATCTTCTTAATTTTATTATATGGGTAGTTTATACTCATTGATACTTAGTAAGAGGGGAACTGTATAGTTTCAACTCAGACTGACCTATTCAGTTTAGGTTTCGGGTCAGATGTGTCAGGAAACACATCCCCCTAAATGAGTTTATAGTTTTGATGGAAACAGTTTATAAGCTCATTTCAAGTATGAACAAATAATGTTCCACATTGAGTTTTTAATGGGTCTTTGCAACAGTCAAAATATCCTCTATACACACACATTTTTCCTCATATAATGCATATAGAAAGCAAAGGTTTCATACTACAGCATGCAGAGGCTAGGGAGCTGCTGGCAGAAACACCCCATTGGAATGCAAGTATCTCCACTTTGTGGTTGATAGAACATGCATGGCACTAGGTTTAGGATTTGTACCCAAAATGTGCTTTCATGTCAAATCAATTTTAATTATATATGCACATCATAGAAGTTAATATTCAATTCGGTCTAAAAGAAGAAAATAAGTTCATCTTCTAGAGCAGTGTTTTAGTGTTGGTATTTTGTTGGTGATAATGCTCTTCAGATGAAGTGGGTGGCTCTTAAAAGAGCCGTTGGTTTGAAGTGTTGGAGACGAGGCCGTTTACTTGGAGCTGGTGTACTTGGTGACAGCCTTGGTGCCCTCAGACACGGCGTGCTTGGCCAGCTCACCGGGCAGCAGGAGGCGAACAGCCGTCTGGATCTCCCTGGAGGTGATGGTGGAGCGCTTGTTGTAGTGAGCCAGGCGGGAGGCCTCAGAGGCGATCCGCTCGAAGATGTCGTTGACGAAGGAGTTCATGATGCTCATCGCCTTGGAGGAAATCCCGGTGTCGGGATGGACCTGCTTGAGCACCTTATAGACGTAGATGGCGTAGCTTTCCTTCCTGGTCTTTCTCTTCTTCTTTCCTCCTTTGCCGGCGGTTTTAGTGACGGCTTTCTTGGAGCCCTTTTTGGGCGCGGACTTGGCGGGTTCAGGCATTTCGAATCTCTGCAGTGTCGTTACAGAATGACCTACTTTGCAGTGGGGAGGGAGCTATTTTTATGCTACTGCTAAGCAAATTAAGCTGTGCGGTCACTTCACTCTGATTGGCTAAGCTGCTGAACTGTGGGTGGTGCTACCTCAGGAGTTTTGATTCTGTTTTCTGGCAACAGGGGGAAAAGAGATGGATAAGGAATGTTTCACTTTCTTAAATAGTATTTGCATTAATCGGTAGAGCTCACAAACACAACATTTTTGTAATCACTATCACACTTTGAGAAGTCTGCTTTCATATGGGCTATGAGAATGACAGAAAGAATACAGAATAAGATAATAGTCAAATGTACAGCTTACAATCTTGTAAATGCGTTACGATTTCAGGACTCACTAAAGTTGTCTACGGTGTAGCGTCGTCACGAAACATTTACTTATCAATACGAATTTACTTATTGATTGTTCACTTTGTAAAAAATAACATTTGAGGTCCAACTTTAGATCGTTGCTAATTTGATCTACATGGCTGTTAGGTGTGTGTTGGTGTTGTCCATATTTTGATTTAGTTTAATTTGTTAGGAGATCTGGTCAGATATCTGTTTGGGTTAATTAGGTTATACTGGCCAGATTGTGACTGTTATTGACTGTAAATCATTGAAATAAATAAAATATGTTTTAAAAGATCATTAAAAAAACATGTTCAACATCTATGTTTGATTTAGCTTTTCTAATACATATCATACAGTGGTGTTACATTTCCTAATAGAGCTCCAGAGGAAGTGGAATGAGAGCAACCTTGAACTGAAGCCTAACACATTGTGCAACACTGCTGGAACAATTCAAGAGGGTTTACAGTTTAAACTGTCATCACTGGGATATACTCTTGAATATAGGGGCATAATAGGGGTTATTTACCTTTTCAGGTAATACGGGTAATACAGAAATTAATTTGACAACCTTGACATTCATCATTCAGTGAATTAGTTCTTATAGACTGTAGAACAAGTATAATATAAAAGGTTAAATGAAATATCAAGTCAGTATTTAGTAGAAAATGGCAATGTGCCAAGTCCTTCCTAAATATGAACTAAAGCAGTGTTTCGTTTTCTATTAACAACAGAGTCTCTGGAAAACCATTGAAGATGTAGGTAGAATATTGGATTCAAGATATATTGGTAGACCAGGGCGTTATTTTTACTGAGATGAATAATGTGATGCTGGCAAATTCAGGACTACTTTTTTTTGGAATGTTATGTTTTTACAAGAACTTAGTGCTTAATGTATTAATAGTCATCGCATTATTGTGCAAGTCTACAAACAGATCCTTGCAATAAACACACATAACACTGTTGTGCAGAGATCCCAGAGATTAGAAACAGGGTCTGCAACAGAGAAGAAAAAGGTGTGCCCTGTATGAGCTGTCATACAAACAGGGGGAAAAAGCCTTTTCAAACACATTTTCCTGGGCACAGTGCGCAGTCAACACAGAGGAGCTGTCAACACACAGGAGCTTTACCAACTTGCCGTGGAGGAAGATTCTTCATTTTCTTCTTAGAACATCATGACACGCGCTAGACTTGGTAACAACATTTTCTAACCTTCGTTTTGTTTATCTGCAGCCAATGGTTAAGACTTACTACCTGGTTCACTACTTTGCTCATGCAAAAATAAAGAAACGTTCAATGCCTCAGGTGCATGTTTCTACATGTATTCAGTCTATTTGTACAAACTGTAGAGGTGTCACACTGTTAAGACCACTGTTAATTTTGACGCTGTTCATTTCTTTATTTAAACTATCCTAGTCAGAGCCATAGATAGGAATCATAACAGCATGTTGTCTCTCCCAGTTAAACCTGAACAACCAGTCTGTTAAGTGTGTCTGCGGGCTCGTGATCCACCATACATTTGCAGTTTATAAAGTATGTAGCAGCATAAAGACATATCATTTATCCTATAATTTCAATATCTCAACACCCAAGATGTAGTCATGAAAAGCTTCCGTTCAATGTTATTTTACTTCGAAATACAACAAGAAAATTAACACATTTTGCTCACAAGTATATCTTCTAAAAATTACAAAGAAGTCTGCTGTTGAGGGATAATATGACAGAAAATGATTGATTTTAGAATACACCAACTATTCAAAAATATGTGAAAGTATTAAAAAAACAAAGCTGCATATGATGAAAGAGTATTCCATTGATTATAAGGTCATGCTCTCTGTTTTAGGAGCCAAAAGCAAGTTAAAGGAGGCAGCTATGGGATTTGCCCTTGGAGCAATAGGAGGCTGCATACTGGGAGCAACAGAAGACCCAATGGATAAAATTGTTTCAATGATGACTACAAGTGGTTCGCTAAAGCCAGTGATGGAGGAGGTCAGGGTCGTGGGTGCCCTGGGGCTGGGGAGCCTTTTGGGAGCTACCGCCCTAACGACAGCAATGACCTCTGTCATAGCTGGTGTTATCTTCGCAGCCGTGGTTGCTTCAGTGTTCGTGACTTGGAGAACCTGTACTAGCTCCCATAAAAATTCTGTTGGATTGTGGGCTTCAGCAGGATTTGCAAGTGCCATTGGTACCACACTCAGTGGAGCGACATTCGGCATGGTAATAGAGTGGATTGTTAAGGGATACGGCATGGTGGGACTTCTGTGGGCTCTGAGCTTTTTCACTGTGCTCAAAACACCCCTGCGTTATGTATTCAAGCTCTTCTGGAAGCAGGGAGAGATCTGCTGCACTCTGGGATCAGAGGTGTGGTCCAGGGAGCAAGAGAACATTGAGATCACTGACTTGCAGCAGAGACAAAAGGTCACAGTGCTGATTGAGCAGAGGATCCTATCCCTGGAGAAGGGTGGGAGCACAAACAAAATGGAGGACAGTGCAACGTGGGCTTCCCAGCAAAGAGAAAGGGAGCAGATAGAGAGGAGAAGGCTTGTGAATCAAGAGGCTGAGATGGAACAAAGAACCATCCAAGACTGGATCAACACTGTAATGGTCAGACATGTTGACTTTTTGGCTTTCTCTGGGATCCCGATGACAATAGTTGTCATTGTGACATCTGGATTTGGCTTGCTTGGTTATGGAGGTCATCAGTCAGTGTTTCTAGCACTTCTGGCCTTAGTTGCCTTGATAGGTTATTTCATGCTCAAATCTTCTGATTTTAAGTTTTGGATGTTGGTGGGATGCATGGGAATGTTTGCAATTTTCGTAATTGCCATGCTCACCCTACATGCCGGGCAGGTGGTTGTAACAACTGCGATAAAGATGAGAGCAGCAGGGCAGACCCTGTCCAGAGAACAAATCAGCACTCGAATGAATTACCACTCCTCGCTGGAAGCTGTAAAGACATCATTCTTTGGTGCAAAATTGTGCCAATTGGGCTTGGGTGCTACAGTCGGAGGGGCACTAGTGAGGAGCTCTGCTGGAGAGGTAAAGGTTATAGCAGGGGCAGCTTCCGTGGCAGGAAGTTTGTTGGCTGGATTGGAGATTTTAGCCCCTATTCTGGGTGATGGTGGGACAGCTGGAGCTCTGCTAGGTGTCATGGGAGCAACTGGGGTGTCTGTGGGTGCGACTGTAGCTGCAGCTGGAAGATGGTCCTCATGGACAGGAACCTTGGGAACAATGGGAGGGTTGATTATGGGAGCATTAGGGATGGGAAAGTGGCATACTCTCAATATTGGATTACAGCTACCCACAGCCTGTGTCTTTGCAATGATGTCTCCATTTTAACCTCAGATTATTATGTGATATTAAAGTTTGTTTATGTATATAAAAAGATGCAAAGAGAAAATATTTGGCTTCTTTGCAATTATTGACACTTCAATTGTAGCTTCAGTTTTTTTGTTGTGTTTGTTTGTTTTTGTTAACGTTTTTTTTAACATGAAAAATATATCTATCTACGAGTTGAAATGCAAATAAATTGTAACCAGCTGTCCACGGATCCGGGGTCTTGACATTAGACACAGCACAGAAGACAGGCCTTTTTTATATTCTCATTTTAGCTAATTATTCAATAAATGTTAAAGTTTCAGGTCACAGGAGTTCATAATAAAAAGAGATGCAACAACCGAATTATTTTGCGACATAACCAGCGATAATATCTTCGTCCACTACATCTGAAAAGCATGAAGAATTTCTACATATATATTGCAACAAAACATGCATCATGCAAAGGTTCAGTAATACCAGCAGGTCTATTACTGAGAAACTCTTATCTCTACATTGATCTGCAGCTTGAAAAGCAGCTGCAAACTTTTCAATTATTGCTGTTTTTCAAACCATACTGGCCTGACATGAAACAGATTGCATGTATTTCAGAATTTTCACAAATAACTTTTAAACAGTGGTCAAATATATAGAAACTGATTATTATTTCTGACATATTTTAGTAATTATAATACAGGACAGTACACAATAAATTCAATATGAGGGCTAATGATAGAATAGTAAATCTGTTCCCTCTTCAGTCCAGCTGGTTATGTAGTACATTTCTGTGGTGTTATCATTAAATTTGCATGTATGAAAAATAACAGTCACTTCAACACATAATCATCTCCTTAAGTACATAGATCATAAAGCAGGGGGAGCCAAATTTTAAACTCTTCTATCCAGAGCTCATTTAAATGTGAAATATGGACTAAAGTTTAATCTTTATCCATTAGTATCTTAAAATATTTGAGCAATGACTGTGCAAATCGGGATTTGTTTGTACCACATCATGCGAGCATTGTTTGATCTGCCACATATATTAACGAGCATTATCAATGTAAATAATCCCGTTTATTTGCACAATTGTATGGTTCCTAAAATAAAAAAACATATATGATCGTTCATCCCACAACAAATTTGCCCAGAAAATCATTCAAGTAAAACAAAAACGTTCCTCAAAACCTCAACTGAATCATGGTATGTTTTATCTTACCAGTAGCTGTTAAAATTGTTTTAATTTTTTTTTTTAACAATTCTTAAACCTTTAACCTGCTATTTGAGAAAATACATTGTATTTGTAGATACAGACATTTACATGCATTTACAATCATTTCTCCAGTCCATTATGGCTAAGGACACAGATCCTTCTCACACAACCAGCGGCGCTTGAGTTCACACGAGGCATCGTTCCAGCTACTAGACACAGGATATTTATGGTACATCTCCACACAGGCCTGTGTGTTATTTGGACCACCACCGTCAGGCTGCCCCCGCTGCCAAAATCTAAAGGACAGAAAAACTATCATGACCTGCCATTCGGTTTTGATTCCTAGTTCTGGTTTCACATGTTTTAGTTTACTGTGTTTTATTTGAGCTGTGTTTAGGTTATGTTTTTTTCTTCTTTTTTTTTGTCTGCCTTGGTTTTTGGTTCCCTGTTTTATTCTAGAGTCTTTCGTGCTGTCATTTATCTTCCCCTTGTGTCTCATTTATATTCACTTCTCTCAGTTCCCTCCTTATCTGATTTTCATTCACAGTAACTCCGTGCACCTGTGTCTCTTTGTCACCAAGTTTTCTTTTCACTAATCACTCTACCCTCTATGCATACTTGTCTAAAATTTAAGTTTGTGCCAGAATTGCGAATTGTCATAACTTTGCCCTTAGTCCTGTTTCCCTGTCTTTGTCCCATTGAGTTTCATGTTTTTTTTTAGCTTCTAGGTTTTTTTTTTTTTTTTTTTGCAAGTTTAGTAATTCCTTGTATCCAGCCTCTGCTGCGCTTTTTGTTCTCGTAAATAAATTAGTCTCTGTTTTTAAGTTCTTTGGTTCCTACAACACACTTCCACCATCTCCCACAAACCTGCCAAAAACATTTGGAAGTCAAAGGTTTAACAGGCCAAATTGCACTGCAAGACAAAACATTTTTCCAACTCTTTTCGCCTGTTTCCTTACAAAAACAAATGGTTTAAAGGATACTTTGCATGACAGATTTTTTTTTTTACACATTTTGTATTTCAAGCCGTTCAGCATAGAACTGACAAAGATGCTTAAATGTGAAGACTTACAGACATTTTAGTGGGGCTGACCCCAAAGTGAAAAAACATGAAAGTGTTAATAAATATACTGCCCTGCATATATTGTTCTGTGAATGTGGTATTATTTAAGCAGACTTTTAGTTCAAGCTGTTTATCCCTGGGAGTGATGTCTTTTTTTCATTCTAAGTTATTTTAATCCAATGTTTGCTTGTTTAAAATTGTGTGTCACACTAACAGGACTACAATAATGTCACAGCAATATGCATGGTTCGGAAATACTAATTTATCCATGAAATCAACAACAAAGCAAGATAAAAGCAAATGAACCAGTTTTAACACTGCTTGCTTATTTTACACTCATGATTGTTTTTCCAAAGGACTTACTGTGTTTTCGGTGTCAAACCATCAACCCATATGAAAGAGCCATTTGTGCCATGTAGACCGATCCAGACCAAGAGGCGCTCATTTCCATCCAGACGATATATTGCCGTCTGGTGAAAATAATATATATGAGTGCAACTGAAAAGGTGCTTCTGGAACGCTCCAAACTATGCAAATAAATTGTACCTGCTCTTGTTCACTGTTGATGATCACCAGGTCAGCTCCTTTACTCTGACAGTCCTTTCTGCTGTCCATCCACGTCTTACTCTCTGTAGACAGCAAGTAACACTTGCTGTTGATTAGCTTCCACGCTGGTGGACACTGTTTGGGAGATTTACAACTGTGCATGTCTAGGAGAAGAAAGAAAAAGACAGGTTTTTAAAATGGAAAGCTTAACGTGGCTAAACCCTCTAAATTTGAAATGGAAATAAACTGTACTGAAATCAAATGTGGCCCCTTATCTGTTCTGAAGAGTTAGTATACTACTGCCTCTCAGTCAGAAGGCATCAGGTAGTCAGATGTGGTGAAGTTATTATGGGGACACGGAGGTTGAAAACCCCGGGAATATTGTGTGCGCCTTTGTTATGATGGTGGTGAATCATTGTTTTTTAGCTAAAGCTGTTCTGTAGCTTTTGGTAAATTTACATTTTAAGGCAAAATAAGCTTTTTAAATAGAAATTTGATCACAATTTTACAAGTATTAATTTTTCTCTAGCCAAGTTATCCTTTCTGGCCAAAACGTTAAACTATGCAACTATGCAATTATCACTGCCTGAATAAAGTCTCTAATAAAGTTATTTAATTACCTGACAGTGATATTTCTAGCTTAGCTCTCTCTTCCTTCAAAGTCTCAACCTTGTTGAGGAGTTCCATTATTCTATTTTCAAGCGTCTTTCGGTCTCTGGTCAAAGCGTTCTTCATATCCTGCAGTTCGTTGAGCGTAAGTCCTTCATCACTATATTGTGCTGTGTTCTGGTTGGAGTATGCTAATGGAACAGAAAACAGAGAAACTGTGACTTTTTTTTCTCTTTTTTTACACACACTCATACCAGTACTCACATGTAAGTCGTAGAGCAAGATTAAGACTGGCTTGAATGATACACAGTATGCCAAAGCTGAGAAAAAGCAGTCGACAGACTCTCATCTCTGCAAAAAGAATCCAAAACAACTTAACGAACAAATTATGTACGTATTTATATGCTTCTATATTTTGAATATATGTGTGAATGTGTTACCTGCTTGGTTGGCATCTTCTTTTATTTTTCCTCTATATTCTGGTTCCTCATAAATATTGTCCATCTCTATTTCCTGCATAATTCTAACAGCAGCAACTTTTTCACTTGGCTTTTTCTTACTAGGGTTGTTGGATGTCCTCTTTAGAAATTAGGCAATTGACTTGTGATAACACATCTAGTTGAGTAAAAAAGGCGGGGTAATGCTTGACCCGTCCACACACAAAGAGAGGAGGTCCGTGTTGAGAAGGAGAACAAGCAGAACTTGTGTCATTGTGAGGACATAGCAGTGTAACAACAGCCTTCATCAAGCCTTTGCCCATCATGCCAATAACCATAACACAAACAGCCTACATCACTGCTACTTGAAACTGTGCGAGTGATGTTTTTTGTCGAGAAGTGTTCTTGGGGTTAAACATTGTTTAGGTGTGAAATAATTTTACTTCCCCCTTAGCTAATAGTGAACCTACTTTTTGGTTATTTCTGCCCTCACATCACAAATATTTTGGTTAATTTAGCAATAGGAAACAGATTCAATTCCAGATTTATTTAGAAAATCTCATTTGCTTTCTGAAATTAGGAACATTTTTATTCATGAACTTTCTGTTTTCAATTTTGAAAAATATAGTTCTACTTTATACTAGCCAAATCACAACAATTACATTTGCGTTGGCAATAGTAACTTAGAAGATTTGTGTGCAATACTGGAAATTTGTATTTGTGTCACATGAAACTCTTATAAAACTTCCAGTTTCAGATTTGACGATGAAGCATGACTTCAAGTTAACAAAGAGTTAAGCTTAGCGGTCAAAAATAGGGGCACAAGTACATTTCAGTCCTCTAATGTACTTTTTCCACGCATGTTTCACATAGGGCTAAAATGTGGCTCCCGATGCACATATTTATTGAAGGCCCTGAAAGGTACAAGCATATTCCCAAACTGTAAATCGAGTAGGACCCCTCAAGATCCAATTTTCTTTTCTTACTGCATGTCATCCACTCATATCATGTTGTCTTTATATTTTTATGCCTTTCAAGAACTGCATTTTATAGGATTGGCTCAAATATTTTAACTTAGTCGAGAGAGTTCACTTGTCAAATAAGACAAAATTTAATTACATCATGAATGGCTTTTATTACCTTCATTTTTTACTGAAGTTTGTTTGTTTTGATTCAAGTGTTTCATTGACAATGGTTGTTATTGATATGATATTTGATGTTAAAGCGCAAACATAAACTGAAAATAAGTCTTGGATTTCTTGGATGAGTAACTACTCATGTTGTTCAAACAGCAAAGTTATGTCAGAAATTGACTTATATTCATCCATTCTTCTCCTTAACTCATTCTCTTTCATAAATCAAAGGATTTTCTCTTCTCAGTTTTTTTAAACTGTAAGGCAGATCGGTAGCAGAGATAAAACCTCCTTGTCTGGCATTGTATGGAGACAAATCTGCTGTCTACAAAGCAAGTTAAAATGCACTTTTTCTTGATGAAACTTCCAGTTCTTAGAAACAGCATTGCACGATTTAAGAGGGTTTTGGACTTGCTAGTTTTCTCTGTGCAGAGCCATGTCACATGTCATGTTGCAATAGCTATGTTGTAAGAGTTGTTCAAGTTGTCTGCACGAAAGAACGCATGCAATATATTGTTATAAGCAAAGTTCTTTGCATCACAAAATAATAGTGAAGGGCCAATGTGCTTTAAAAACTAAAGCAAAAGGCTTTATTGGTACATAATACACTTGAAAAGATCAATGGACTGAAAAACCAAGAAGTAGGAAATAACGTCCCACAAAATATATTTTTTTATTTTTTATGAATATATTTGTTCATTTGACATTGGCCAAGAAATTATATTAAACTGTTGGGGGAAGAAAGAACACACACGACGTGAAGTGGCAGAACTGTTATAATTTAGCTGTGTTTTTTCTTGCCTCCACTCTTGGGTCTGGGGGGAACCAGGACTTTTTTATTATTTTACAGAATGAGGAAGATAAAGCATGTGCTTCCTTCTCAAAAAAGAGAACAATGCAAAAGGAGAAGTGGATTACACCTCAGATTCCTTCAAATGCAGATTCCTTGACCACAAACTGTGCCATGTTAGTTCCTAAGATGGTAAGAGTCACCCACAGAGAGGAGTCTGAGATCTCCATGGACTATGCTAACATACCTGATGCCGCGGCCAGAAACATTCCTGTAAAGCATAACGAGGTATATCCTGTGGCACCAGGTAAGTCTGAAAAGATTGAATCAAAAATGTTACCATGAAGTAGGTATGGATTCTGTCAGTGCTTTTGCATAAAATATATACTGCCCTAATTATTCATTGTTGCATGGCTTTAGATGTATATTGTCGTTATATTATTGTAAGCAACTATTTGATGATTTTGAGCTCTTCGAGAAATTTGTCTTAAAGAGTTGGAGTATTTTTTACTTGAAAAAGATAACCAGGAAAAACCTTTCAAGTGACTGAACACTTTTTCTTTGTGTGTGTGTACATTACTTCTAAATTTAGGGAGAAATGTCTACAAATTGGTTGCTGTTAGCTTTGGATTTCTCTGTATCCTGCAAGTTGCTCTCAACATTTATCTACGTCTTGCTTTCCGTGAGTTTTTCCGCGAGTTTCCCTACATACATTAAAAACTGAAAGTTGACCGTCAACAATCTCCACATGCTTCTCTTCTTTTAGACAATCAAGACAGTTCAGATTCCATTGGTAAAAACAGGACAGGAGGTTTACATGATATAATAAAACTGTCAGGTAAGTAAAAAGATGACTTACTGCTTCTGACAGCATCTTTCTATCTAATGATTTCTTAAGGCCAAACTGTGCTCTGCCTTTCACAAAATGAGCCACAATTACAGATGTTGATTATCATGACATGCTGCATTGCCATAAAGGTGTATACTTTTGGAATTCTTACTCATCAGCAAAATTTGTCTGATGCTGAAAAAATCGTGTTTGCTTTCCCATAACAGATCAGTATTTTCAACAGGGATGGGTATATTTCCCTCCTAGTTTCTATTATATTTCTACTACCAGGAAATCCTGGAAGGAAAGTAGAGAGGATTGTCTGCAAAGAGCTGCAGATTTGGTGATTATAAACACCAAAGAGGAACAGGTATGTGTTGATGTGGAAATCCAATCAAATTCATTTTGAAGCAATGAAAAATCTGAACTTTTTTACACCAATTACTGGCAACTGATTGTTTATTGAAGAACTTTGCAAGACTGTTTGGAAAGTTTACATGGATTGGACTGAGCGAAGAAAGGACACAAGGAAAGTGGAAATGGGTGGATGGGACTCCTCTGACAAAAAGGTAATTATTTTTGCAATTAACATAAATCAAATTGGAAACTTTAAAATAACACATTTTTCAAATCAGATAACAGTGCACTATATTCAAAGTCATATCTTGCTTGTAGAGATGCTTAGACATTCACGGTGACTGTGCTTCTTGTTAAGGATGTTTGTTCTGTATTTTTTGGTTTCAGCTACTGGGGCCCAGGAGAGCCTAATGGCTTTGAAGGCAAAACAGAAGACTGCGTAGAGATACGGTTCCATGATATTGAAAACAGCTGGAATGACATACCATGTGAAGATCAAAACTTCTGGATCTGTGAGAAAATGGCTGTATTTTAAATCAGCTAATCTGGTCATTCTGAGCCTAATTAAATGCCAACCCATGAAGTCACAGTACCAATAACTTACTGGAGGTTTACTTTGCCTCTTGCCCAATGGCAGTGGGGAGTCAGCTGACCCTGAAAAAGCAGTTTATAAAATGGATGGATGAACGTTTCCTGAAAACTTCTGACTCTGTATGCTTTTACTCTTTTTAAACAACTCAGTTTATACCTGTATGCCGACTAAGTATGTAGGTAAACAAAACTGGTGCAACAATGGACATGTCTCAGAAATTATACGTATATTAGATGAAAGTACAACAATGTCAAACTTAAAAAGTAACTGATGTGTTTTTCACTGTATCCATTATATTATAGCATTATAGCAATTTTCTTCAACTAAGAAAGACTTTCAAAAAGGTTTAACTCTCTGTAACATCTTGCTACTTCTGGAAATTGAAAAAAAAGAATTAAAGCAAATACATCGCTACTCAGATCTTTTTCCTCTGCAATGTTTTAAGAGATTGGTTACTAAGTTGAAAAATAATTTGTAAACCCTTATTTCTGCCATGTAAACCTTGGTACAACTATGCCACCTACTGACTTGAATTGGCAGACTAAATTGTCCTGTTCCTAACAAAGTATGGATATTATAGTAAGTTTAGACTTAGTTACAGTTGTGGTTATTTTAGTCATAAAATATATTTGTACAATTTACTTTTTTTTTTTAAATCTGAATTAGTATGAAATAAAACATACACTCAGAACACAGGGTGGGGCTGAGGGGCTTTCAGTACCCCAAAATTGCAGGATATTGCACTGCTTTCAATTTGGCCCTGTGCCAAAATGGGCAAATGGTCCAAAGAACCTATCAAAGATGGTCATCAGGAATCACGGATAAGAACCTGGGAGGTCTTTTGCATTATATAAAAGTGTTGGGGGAAAAAATAATACCCCTCTTAGCTCTGGGGGCAACCACGACTTTTGCGTCTTTCGACAGAATGAGGAAGATAAAGCGTGTGCTTCCTACTCAAAAAAGAGAGCAATGCAAAAGGAGAAGTGGACTACAAATACAATTTCTTCAAATGCAGATTCCTTGCCTCCAAACTGTGCCAAGTTAGTTCCTAAGATGGTGAGAGTTACCAACAGAGAGGAGTCTGAGGACTCCATGGTCTATGCTAACATATCTGATGCCATGGCCAAAAACAATCCTGTAAAGCATGACGAGGTATATCCTGTGGCACCAGGTAAGTCTGAAAAGATTTCATTAAAAATGTTACCATTAAACATGAATTAGGGGCGGATTCTGTTAGTACTTTTGCATAAAATATATACTGCCCTAACTATTCATTGTTGCATGGCTTTATATGTATATTGTCCTTTTATTATTGTAAGCAACTATTTGATGATTTTGAGCTCTTTCGATAAATTTGTCTTAAAGAGTTGGAGTATTTTTTACTTGAAAAAGATCACCAGGAAAAACTTTTCAAGTGACTGAACAGTTTTTCTTTGTGTGTGTGTACATTACTTCTACATTTAGGGAGAAATGTCTACAAATTGGTTGCTGTTAGCTTTGGATTCCTCTGTATCCTGCAAGTTGCTCTCAACATTTATCTACGTCTTGCTTTCCTTGAGTTTTTGGGTGAGTTTCCCTACATACATAAAAAAACAGAAAGTAGACCGTCAACAATCTCCACATGCTTCTGTTCTTTTAGACAATCATGACAGTTCAGATTCCATTGGTAAAAACAGGACAGGAGGTTTACATGATATAATAAAACTGTCAGGTAAGTAAAAAGATGTCTTACTGCGTCTGACAACATATTTCTATCTAATGATTTCTTAAGGCCAAACTGTGCTCTGCCTTTCACAAAATGAGCCAAAATTACAGATGTTGATTATCATGACATGGTGCATTGCTGATAAAGTCATATAAAACTGTATGTAAGAATGCCTTTATCTTTAAATGCTGTAAATGTTTTTGTCTGCTAACCTTTAACAAGCGCTGTGCATGATATTTCCATTTGCTCTTTTCTAACTTCATGGAAGGTCATAAGTTTAAAATGTACATCAAAAAAGGAGAACAAAGCGCAGCTGTGCTTGCACTTGTGCTGGCTGGGCTCCACAAGGATGTGAGATATGACACTCCTTTCTACAAACATGTCCAAAAATAAGATATGCCTTTGGTGTTACGCCTTGTTTGTTCAGTCTAATAAAAAGCCAAGGGTGTGAGGCTAAAGTCGGAGAGTGTTTCAGATGCAGTGCTGAAGATAGGCTGCAGAGCTCTTCCCTTTTTGCAAAAAGCTTGTACTACATAGTCTGTGTTGTTCATTCGAGTTTTCCACTTTTGAAAAATTAGAGTGTTTGAACCTAACAATTGCCATAAAGGTGTATACTTTTGGGATATTTGCTCATCAGCTAAAATTGTCTGATGCTGATTAAATCATGTTCTCATAACAGATCAGTATTTTCAACAGGGATGGGTACATTTCCATCCTAGTTTATATTATATTTCTACTACCAAGAAATCTTGGAAGGAAAGTAGAGAGGATTGTCTGCTAAGAGCTGCAGATTTGGTGAATATAAACACCAGTAAATAAATTAAATAAATAAACTTAATCTACCACTGTAATTTTCATTCAGTCCCACCACTCAACACACTTTGAGTTGGTGGAATCTACATCTGGACATATTCAAGACTGTGGAAATGAGGGACACACTGACTTATCTGTCTCTTTAATTTAGCTTGAGTCTCACAAAACTGAAACTGATGGTTATCCTATATCCATTTATTCAAACAACATCCAAGAAGCAGAACACCTTTTCAGGATCAATTTTAGGATGAGGTCCTAAACCAAACTTCTCACTATGCATAGATATGAAGTGTATCGACTAAGAGGAAACCATGACTTTCAAATCGATTGAAATACAGTAATGATTATTTTGTTTTTAGATATTAAGACCAGTAACAAAAACCTAACTGAAGAGAGAGATGAGCTGAAGAGGAAACTGAATGACTTTGGTAAGTAAGATGACGAATCTGCATCAGTTATCTGGTGTTAGATCTCCCAGTGTAGCACATTATTTATTAATGTTGAATGTTCCAATTCCATGTTTAATGTTTATTCTATCCTGCAGCACGAATAAGTACAGAGTTGTGGGTGTAGGATTTTCTATCGCACATCATGAAACTTCACAAACCTTTAATGAAAGATAGTATGACCAGAGATTTATGGTCACACGCTGTGTTAGGTTATCAAAAGCATGACATTGTTGAAATAAGGTCCCTCACAAGGATGTTTGGAACAGGGTGAGGACCTCAGTCACCAAGCAGCAGCTGAGAGTATCTTCTCTTTTACATCTAGAGTAATTGGGAGCAAGTCCAGGTGGCAGAATGCTAATCAGGCTGCCTCTTTGACTAATTACTGGAGGTGATGTTTCAGACATGCTCTGTATCATATGCTGGAGAGATTAAACCTCTCAGATGGTTTGGGATGGCCTTGCCTTGGAATTGCAATGGATTGGGATTGTAATGGAAGTAACTTTTCTTCTCTCACTGGTAGCTTCCTACCACACTTCAGTGATTGAAGAGAGAGAGGAGCTAAAGAGGACTAAATCTGGTGAGTTGAATAGTGCAAATACCAATTTCTAACCAATTAAATTATAAATGGTTTTAGAAACGGGTGAGTCTTTATAGAATATATACTGTAATTTTGCTTTTGAGCTTAGTTTCTGATATATTGATATTTCAACCAGACATTCAGGCACGTCTCCAAACTCAAACTAATGAAATGGAAAATATGACAAGAACCATCAATGGTAAGTCTAATGATGAAGTGATGTTTAGACCACTTAATCCATCCATCCATCCATCCATTGTCCACCGCTTATCCGGGGTCGGGTCGCGGGGGCAGCAGCCGGAGCAGGGAAACCCAGACTTCCCTCTCCCCGGCCACTTCAGCCAGCTCCTCCGGGGGGATCCCGAGGCGTTCCCAGGCCAGCCGGGACACATAGTCCCTCCAGCGGGTCCTGGGTCTTCCTCTGGGCCTTCTCCCGGTGGGACGAGCCCGGAACACCTCCCCAGGGAGGCGACCAGGAGGCATCCTGAACAGATGCCCGAGCCACCTCAACTGGCTCCTCTCCACGTGGAGGAGCAGCGGCTCTACTCCGAGCCCCTCCCGGATGGCCGAGCTTCTCACCCTATCTCTAAGGGAGAGCCCCGCCACCCTGCGGAGGAAACTCATTTCGGCCGCTTGTATCCGCGATCTCGTTCTTTCAGTCACTACCCAAAGTTCGTGACCATAGACGAGGGTGGGAACGTAGATCGACCGATAAATTGAGAGCTTCGCCTTTAGGCTCAGCTCTCTCTTCATCACGACAGACCGGTACAGCGCCCGCATTACTGCAGACGCCGCACCGATCCGCCTATCGATCTCATGCTCCCTACCCCCGTTCGCGAACAAGACCCCGAGATACTTGAACTCCTCCACTTGGGGAAGGACGTCCGCTCCGACTCGGAGGAGGCACTCTACCCTTTTCCGGTGAGAGACCATGGTCTCGGACTTGGAGGCACTGATCCTCATCCCAGCCGCTTCGCACTCGGCTGCGAACCGCTCCAGTGAGAGCTGTAGGTCCTGACTTGATGAAGCCAACAGGACCACATCATCTGCAAAAAGCAGAGACGCGATCCTAAGGCCACCAAGACTGACACCCTCAACACCTCGGCTGCGCCTAGAAATCCTGTCCATAAAAGTTATGAACAGGACCGGAGACATAGGGCAACCTTGGCGGAGTCCAACTCCCACCGGAAAAGAGTCCGACTTACTACCGGCAATGCGAACCAAACTCTGACTCCGGTCGTACAGGGACCGAACAGCCCGTAGCAAAGGGCCAGGTACCCCATACTCCCGGAGCACCCCCCACAGGATACCCCGAGGGACACGGTCGAACGCCTTCTCCAAGTCCACAAAACACATGTGGACTGGTTGAGCGAACTCCCATGCACCCTCCAGGACCCCGCTGAGGGTATAGAGCTGGTCCAGCGTTCCACGGCCAGGACGAAAACCACCCTGTTCCTCCTCGATCCGAGACTCGACTATCCGACGGACCCTCCTCTCCAGAACCGCTGAATAGACCTTCCCAGGGAGGCTTAAGAGTGTGATCCCCCTGTAGTTGGAACACACCCTTCGGTCCCCCCTTTTAAATAGGGGGACCACCACCCCAGTCTGCCAATCCAGCGGGACTGCCCCTGATGTCCACGCGATGTTGCAGAGTCGCGTTAGCCAACGCAGCCCCACAACATCCAAAGCCTTAAGGAACTCCGGCCGGATCTCATCCACCCCCGGAGCCTTGCCACCGCGGAGCTTTTTGACTACCTCGGTGACTTCAGCCCCGGAGATTAGAGATCCCAACTCCGGACCTCCAGGCTCTGCCCCTCCAATGGAGGACGCGCCAGTGGGATTGAGGAGGTCCTCGAAGTACTCCGCCCACCGACCCACAACGTCACGAGTTGAGGTCAACAGCACCCCATCCCCACTGTAAACAGTGTTGGTGGGGCACTGCTTCCCCCCCCTGAGACGCCGGATGGTGGACCAGAATCGCCTCGAGGCCGTACGGAAGTCTTTTTCCATGGCCTCCCCAAACTCCTCCCACGCCCGAGTTTTTGCCTCGGCGACCACCCGAGCCGCATGTCGCTTGGACTGCCGGTACCCATCGGCTGCCTCCGGAGTCCCACAGGCCAAAAAGGCCCGATAGGACTCCTTCTTCAGCCTGACGGCTTAATTCATAGAGATTTTAAGAGTAACTTCAATCTGGAAAGGTGCTGCATCAAAAAAACTTTAGGAACTGTGTTAGCAATATGTTGGAATTTCATCCATGAAAATTAGTCCTAAGAAATGTTTGAAATAATATAGGTATTGAGGCAACTAACAGAAATCTGACTGAAGAGAGAGATGAGCTGAAGAGGAAACTGAATGATTTGGGTAAGTATCATCAGACACTGAATCCAACAGGAAACAAGTGTCTTATTGTTGTTTGTTCTTTTGAGTTTATTATTGAAAATGTGTCAAACTATTAAAGAGTCTCAACAATAGATAACAACTCAGCAAACCTGCACTTTATGGTACCTCTTTTTTTCTTCAAACATGGATTTGAGAAAATCTCATCTACATTTTGATATCTCATTAGTGAAGATAGTTATTCATAGATAAATGTTAAAAGCAATATTTCAAAAGGAACTGCCATAAAATTGAGGAGCATATAATATTTTTCTTTTGTTTGTAATCTGACTTGAATCCTTGGAGCAACAGATTATTTCAACACTTCTGAGAATAAGGCCATCACCGCCAAGCAGAATGAGAATGCAATTCGCTGCTACCAAAAGCTAACCTTTTTATGATTTCATCCAAATAGCTTTTGGTTCCTTACTATTGTGGGGTTTATAAGTAGCTGAAAGACTGTTACCTCTTGGATATTAATTGAGGTCACAGTTGTTCAACTGACTCACCTGACTGCTATTTTATTAGTACAAATCATTACTTGTAAAGTTTTCTTTATCTAAAAGAGCACATTTTGGATGCAAGATCCAATGGTTGAACAAGGTTCTGTTGTAGGATCTGTGCCACTTATTTCCATTTTAACAGAAATTATTTGGCATCTCTGTTAAACCAGCTGTATTCTCTTTCCGAATTGTGTCGAGTGTACTGCTAAAAAGAGTTCACTTCTCTTTTGATTTAGTTTTATGTGGAGCCAAATTATTTGCGTAAATACTTTAGAGGCTCTGTTAACTCTATAATTTGAAAGGGATTGAGGTTTTCATGACTGACTACTACTAATTTCTGCTTCTTAAGATACATTTTATTTGCTCTAGTTGAATATAATTTGTTATAATTTGTTGGTTTACGGTTTTCACAAAGGAAATCCAGGATGGACACTTTTCAGAGGAAGTGCTTATTACGTTTCTGCTACAATTAGAACTTGGGAGGGAAGTAGAAATTACTGTCGTGAAAAAGGCGCAGACCTTATGATTATCAACAGTGAAGAAGAACAGGTATGTGTGTGTGTGTGTGTGTGTGTGTGTTTGTGTGTGTGTGTGTGTGTGTGTGTGTGTGTGTGTGTGTGTGTGTGT